CGGCGGGGGGGGCGCCGGGGCGGAGGCGGGAGCCCGGGCCATGGCGGAGGGGCGGGGCCGCGGCGGCGCGGGGCGGGGCTTGTGAGGGGCGGGGCTTGTGAGGGGCGGTGCCTGCGAGGGGCGGGGCTTGTGGAGGGGCGGGGCTTGCGCTGGGGGTCCCCGGGGGGAGGGGCTGTGAGAAGGAGCCCCCCCCCCCAATCCCCACTCGTGGGTTTAATGAGGGCGGTTCGGGGGGCAAAGGAGCGCCCCCTCCCCAATCCCCACTCGTGGGTTTAATGAGGGGGGATTCTGGAGATTGGGGGGGCAAAGTGTGTGACACCCCCCAATCCCCACTCGTGGGTTTAATGAGCGGGGGTTTGGGGGGATTCTGGAGATTGGGGGGGGCAAAGGAGCGCCCCCTCCCCAATCCCCACTCGTGGGTTTAATGAGGGCGGTTCGGGGGGCAAAGGAGCGCCCCCTCAATCCCCACTCGTGGGTTTAATGAGGGGGGGTTCTGGAGATTGGGGGGCCAAAGGAGCGTCCCCCCAATCCCCACTCGTGGGTTTAATGAGGGGGGGTTCTGGAGATTGGGGGGGCAAAGGAGCGCCCCCCCCCAATCCCCACTCGTGGGTTTAATGAGGGGGGTTTGGGGGGATTCTGGATACTGGGGGGGCAAAAGAGCGCCCCCCCAATCCCCACTCGTGGGTTTAATGAGGGGGATTCTGGAGATTGGCGGGGCAAAGTGTGTGACACCCCCAATCCCCACTCGTGGGTTTAATGAGGGGGGTTTGGGGGGATTCTGGAGATTGGGGGGGCAAAGTGTGTGACACCCCCCCCCCCATCTCAGTGTCTGCGGATGTTTGGGGGGCGCTGAGGGTTAAACGGGGGGACGCCTGGGTGTCACGGGGGAAATTTGGGGGTGTCCTGGAGATTGGGGGGTGCCTTGAGGGGGTGTTAATGGCCCCCCCACTTCTCACAGGTCTGCAGGGTCTGGAGGAGCAAAGAAGGATCCCCCCAATATCTGCTTCCCTTGGGGGGGGGCATTAGCACCCCTAAACAACCCCCATGGGTTTTTGGGGGGCTCACAGGGGGCATTAAAGGCTCCCCTCTCCGAGTTCCCCACACGACAGCACCCCTGGGTGCTGTACCGGCATTCCCTTCATCATCCCCCCCCCCCCAAAAAAAAAAAAAAAAAGGAGTGAAAGTTCGGGAAGGTGGGGGAGGAAAATTTGGGACCCCCCCCAGGTGTGGGAGGGTTCTCTGACATCACCCCATAAAAATCGGGGTGCCAGGGCGGGCAACACACGGGGGTTCAGCCAGGTGAGCAGATTTTGGGTGGGGTGAGGGATGGGGGGTCCAGTTTTGGGGGGGGTCCTGTGCCCTGGCACCCCTTTAGAGGAGGGGGCAGCGTGCCAGGCCCTTGGCACGAGGGTCCTGCTGAGCGCAGGGGGGTGGGCTGGGGGTCCCGATGTTGGGGAGGGGGCACCAGGCACGGGTTCTGCTCCACCCCCCCGCCCCCCAAAAATCCACCGCACCCCCTCTGTTATTTCCTGCCGGCTCCGGGCGCAGTTTCACCTCCCTTCGAGCTGGGGAAATCCCAGGGGGTGAAAAAACTCCCAACCCCACCCCAAAAAAAATGGGGAGGGGTCCAGGGTGGTACACCCAGAATCGCTTTGGGGTAAAACCCGGCCAATCAGGGCTGGGAAACGTCCAAAAAGAACCCAAAACTGACTCGGAACCGAGCGGATTTTGGGGTGTGGGGGGGAAAAAAGGGGCAAAACTCAGGGCCTGCAGGTGGAAAAAGCCTCCAAAATTTGGAGGTGCCAGGGTTTTGTTTTTTTTTAAAATGGGGGGAGTTTTAAAAAACCTGAGCGGGTTTTTGGGGGGTACCTGAACGATTTGGGGCCATCTGGAGGAGGTGCTCAAGCTGCTTTTTCCGACAGCGTCATTTTGGGGCATTTCGGGCGTTTCGGTGGCGTTTGTGGGGGATGGGATGTTGGGGGGTGGGGGGGGTGGCACCAATTCACCCCCAAATTCTTCAAGGCCTCGTTTCTTGGGGGGGGGGATTTCTGCTTGGCTGCTTTAGGGCTACCCCTGCCCAGCAGTTTTGGGGTGTTTTATTGAATTTTGGGGCATTTTGGGGCGTCTCTACCGTGTTTATTTGCGAGCGTTTCTCCTCATTTTGGTGCGTCTCAGCCTGCTCGATTTGGAGCGTTTCTGCCTGGCCATTTTTGGGTGAATCTCTGCTTTTTAGGGGTTTTTTTGCCTGGCTGGTTTGGAGCGTTTCTCCTCATTTTGGGGACTCCCTGTTCAGACATTTTGGGGCGTCTCTGCACATTTTGAATTTCCTCTTTATGGCCATTTTTAGGGTGTTTCTGCCTGGCTGTTTTGGAGCGTTTTGCCTCATTTTAGGGCGTCCTTGGCCATTTTGTCTCATTTTGGGACGGCTCTGGCCATTTTGGGGTGTCTGTGCCGTTGTTTTGGGGCTTTCCTCGTTTCGCGACGTCTCTGGGCATTTGAGGCGTTTCTGCTCCATCGTTTTGGGGCATTTCTTGGCATTTTAGGGCTGGTTTGGGGTGTTTGTGCCTCATCATTTGGGGCCATTTCTCTGCATTTTGGGGTGTCTCTGCCCAGCTGAGGCTGTCGCCGTTTCGGGGCATTTTTTGCGGGTTTTGAGGAGTTTCTCCCTGGTTGTTTTGAGGTGTCTCTGCCCTGCTCTTTCGAGACACTTCCCAGCATCTCTGGTCAATTTGGGGTGTTTCTGTCTGGTTTTTTAGGGTCATTTCCCTGCCTTTTGGGGTTTTTTGCCGTGATGGCTTTGGGGCGTCTCTGGCCTCTCAATTTGCGCCATTTCTTCCCGTTCGTCCCGCACATTCCAGGGAGTTTCTCTGGTGGTTTTGGGGCATTTCTCTGCATTTTGGGGTGTGTGCCCCGGCTGTCTCGGGGCACCTGTTTGGGTCTGGGGGGGCCCATCCCGGCCCCCCGCCCCCGCCGTGACTCAGGGCTGTGGTTTCCCGTCTATAAATGGGAGGTGGAAGCGCCCGGTGTCGCCCAGAGCCATGGCAGGCGCCCGGGACCCGTGAGCTGGGGGCACTGGGAGCCACTGGGAGGGACTGGGAGCCACTGGGAGGGACTGGGAGCCACTGGGAGGCACTGGGAGCATGCTGGTGGGCTTTGGGAGGCACTGGGAGCATACTGGGAGGAACTGGGAAGCACTGGGAGCACACTGGAAGCACACTGGGAGTGGACTGGGAGCACGCTGGTGGGCTTTGGGAGGCACTGGGAGCATGCTGGGGGTGGACTGGGAGGGACTGGGAGGCACTGGGAGCACACTGGGAGTGGACTGGGAAGGACTGGGAGCCACTGGGAGCACGCTGGTGGGCTTTGGGAGGCACTGGGAGCACACTGGGAGGGATTGGGAGGCACTGGAAGCATACTGGGAGGGACTGGGAGCACACTGGGAGGGACTGGGAGGCACTGGGAGCACTGGGAGCTACTGGGAGCACAAGGGACTGGGAGCATACTGGGAGCTACTGGGAGGGACTGGGAGGCACTGGGAGCACACTGGGAGGGACTGGGAGCACATTGGGAGGGACTGGGAGCATACTGGGAGGGACTGGGAGCACACTGGGAGGGACTGGGAGCACACTGGGAGGGACTGGGAGCATACTGGGAGCACACTGGGAGGGACTGGAAGCATACTGGGAGCACACTGGGAGGCACTGGGAGCACACTGGAAGGGACTGGGAGCACACTGGAAGGGACTGGGAGCACACTGGGAGGCACTGGGAGCATACTGGGAGCACTGGGAGCACACTGGGAGGGACTGGGAGCATACTGGGAGGGACTGGGAGCACACTGGGAGCTACTGGGAGGGACTGGGAGCATACTGGGAGCACACTGGGAGGGACTGGGAGGCACTGGGAGCACACTGGGAGCTACTGGGAGGGACTGGGAGCTACTGGGAGCACACTGGGAGGGACTGGGAGCACACTGGGAGCACTGGGAGCTACTGGGAGCTACTGGGAGGGACTGGGAGCATACTGGGAGGGACTGGGAGCATACTGGGAGCACTGGGAGGCACTGGGAGGGGGTAACTGGGGGGGGGGCGGTGGGGGCCGTTCCCCACCCCACGCGTGTTCCGGCACCGGCGGTGACGCAGGAGCGGCGCGGGACGCGTGTGCAAGCGTGGCACACGCGCGTGTCACACTCTGGGGGGGCTGGGGGGGCCCCTCGTGGGTGGGTGGGGGTCTCACCCCCCCTGCCCCCCCTCCCCAGGCAGCGGCGCCCCCCCCGCAGCCCCCAGGACCGGCCCACGGTGCTGGCACGAGTGGACGGGAGCGCGCCCCGCTGCACCCAGGTGCGCCGCAGAGCCAAATTTGGGGGGCTGGGAGGGTGGGGGGGGGTCACCTCCCCACCCACCCCCTCCCCAAAACCCACAGGTGCCACCCGAGGGGGGGTCGTGCCCCCCACTCCTGCAGGTGCAGCACCCCGGGGTGTTGGTGATGCGAACTCGGCTGCCCCCAGCGCACGGTGAGACCCCCCCCCACCCCAAAATCTGCCCTTCCCCTCCTCGTGGTGGGGGTGGTCTCCCTTTTGGGAACCCCCCCCCACCCCAACACCACCTCCCCAAAATTCTTCCAGGGCTCCCCGGCTTGGAATGGGGCCCCAAAGACCCCCCTGGCCGCGATAGAGACCCCTCCCCAGCCCCCGCCGGCAGCGAGCCCCCCGCGCCGCCCCCCGGCGCTGCGCAGCCCCCCAGGTGGGTGGGGGGGCTTGTGTGGGGAGGGGGGTTTTGGGGGGATCCCAAAGCCCCCCGTCCTCACGCCCCCCACCCCCCAAAAATCAACCCCCAGGCCCCCCCGCCGTGAGCCGGGGGAGGTGGCTCAGTGCCTGCGGCAGCTGGAGAGGATCCAGGAGCTGGAGCAGCAGGTGAGGGGACCCCCAAAATCCCCCCCGAGACCCCCCAAAACCTGACCCGCCCCCAAAATCCCCCCTGAACCCCCTAAATCCCCCTAAACCCCCAAACGCCCTGAACCCCAAAACCGCAAGAACCCCCCAAAAATTCCTGACCCCCCAAAACCCCTGAGCTCCCCCAAAACCCTGAACCCTC